TGGGAACAGTTGAAGCGCTCACGGGAGCGACAGGGGAAATCCAAAATTACTAACTGGGAGAAGATGAAGAAGAAGATGAGAGGGCACTTCCTCCCTTTCGGCTATACTCAAACCTTGTTTCAGAGGCTCCATTCACTAAGGCAAGGCGCAAGATCAGTCAATGATTATACTGAAGAATTCTATCAGTTGGTGGCTCGAAATGATTTATCTGAAACGGAGGAACAGATGGTAGCACGGTATTTGGGGGGATTAAGGCAGCCCCTGCAGGATGTTCTTAGCCTTCATTCATTGTGGACAGTTTTCGAGGCATATCAGCGAGCACTTGCAGTAGAGAAACAACAAAGTAGGAGGCCAGTGGTCAGAGGTGAAGGAAGTCAGCCAGTTCGCCCTCAAGAATCTCGTCCTGCTTATCAGCTACAGCGGGATAGTTCCAGCTCAAGTATTAAGTGCTTTAGGTGTGATGAACAGGGACATAGGGCGACTGATTGCAGGAAGCCTGCTGGTCAGAAGAATAAAAATCTTCTGATTGAGGAGGATATGATAGAGGAGTTTGGGGAAGTTGGGGAACCCATGTATGATGAGGGTGTAGATGAGGACGTGCTATATGGAGATGGTCAGGAGACCCTGGTTGTTCGAAAGAGCCTGCTGACTCCCAAGGGCGACTCAGGGGATGATTGGTTGAGGACCAACATTTTTCACACAACCTGCACAGTTGCTGATAAAGTCTGTAAGCTGATAATTGATAGTGGCAGTTGTGAGAATGTAGTGTCTGAGGAGGTTATCGAGAAACTACAACTGAAGATGGATTGTCATCCCAAACCATACAAGTTGTCTTGGCTGAATAAAGGCAGTGAGGTAACGATAGAAAAACGATGCTTAGTGTCTTTCTCAATTGGAAAAAAATATTTTGATAACGCTTGGTTTGATGTGGTATCAATGGAAGCCTGTCATGTTTTGTTGGGACGACCTTGGCAGTATGATCGTAGTGTTATCCATGATGGGCGGAAGAATACTTATTCTCTTAGTATCAAAGGAAAGAGAATTGTTTTGGTGCCTCACAGGGAAGGAAACATCCCTACCTCGGTAGTTAAAAACCCCAATCTACTTTCTATGTCCAGGTTTTTGGTTGAGGTTGGGCGTGAAAAAATAGTTTATGCTTTAATGCCTCGTGAAAATAGTACGGCGAGTGTGGATTCAGAATTTCCAGCAGAAGTACAGCAACTACTGATGGAGTTTTCTGACTTGATGCCAGAGGATCTTCCTCCAGGATTACCACCTATGAGGGACATTCAACATCAGATCGACCTCATTCCGGGGTCGAGTCTACCAAATCGACCAGCATATCGCCTCAGTCCCAAGGAAGCTGAAGAGTTGCAGCGACAGCTGGTAGAATTATTGGAAAGGGGCTACATTCGTGAGAGTATGAGTTCTTGTGTAGTTCCTGCTCTCCTAGTGCCGAAGAAAGATGGGTCATGGCGTATGTGTGTTGACAGCAGGGCAATTAACAGGATTACAGTGAAGTACAGGTTTCCAATTCCCCGTCTGGACGACATGTTGGATCAATTGTCCGGTTCTAAGGTTTTCTCAAAAATTGACCTTAAAAGTGGATACCACCAGATCAGAATCAGACCTGGAGATGAGTGGAAGACCGCGTTCAAGACACAGCATGGGTTGTACGAGTGGATGGTCATGCCCTTTGGACTATCCAACGCACCCAGCACTTTTATGAGGTTTATGCATCAGGTTTTACGGCCTTTCATGGGGAAATTTGTGGTAGTTTATTTTGATGACATACTTATTTATAGTCTGACATGGGAGTCACATTTTAATCATCTTCGTGCTGTCTTTGATGTAATGAGGACGGAGCGCTTATTCGTCAATCAGAATAAGTGTTCTTTCTTCACAACTTCTGTAACTTTTTTGGGTTTTGTTGTGTCTACTGATGGTGTTCATGCAGATCAATCCAAAATTGAGGCAGTTTTGAATTGGCCGAAACCAAAAACTTTGCACGATGTCAGGAGTTTCCATGGATTGGCATCCTTCTATCGTCGATTCATCAGAAACTTTAGTACCTTGATTGCTCCTATCACAGACTACCTTAAAGGGCGTGATTTTCAGTGGACTGAGGAGGCAGAGGCTAGCTTTCAGTTGGTTAAGTAGAAGATGACGGAGGCCCCAGTCTTGGCACTTTCGAATTTTGAAAAGGTGTTCGAGGTAAATTGTGATGCGTCTGGAGTTGGCATTGGTGGTGTTCTGAGTCAGGAGGGACGTCCAGTAGCTTTTTTTAGTGAGAAGCTATCGAGATCAAAGAAAAATTATTCCACTTATGACCTGGAGTTCTATGCTATAGTTCAGACTCTGAAGCATTGGCGCCATTACCTGGTACAGAGGGAGTTCATCCTTGTTACTGATCATGAGGCTTTGAAATACATCAATGGTTAGCACAAGTTGAGTAGGCGACATGCAAAGTGGGTGGCGTACTTGTAGGAGTTTACTTTCACACTCAGGCATCAAGCAGGGAGTTTGAATCGAGTAGCAGATGCATTGAGTCGTCGCACATTACTCCTTACCACCATGAGCACCAAGATTGTCGGATTTGAGGCATTTCCTGATATGTATGCTGCGGATCCCTCATTTGGGAAGATAATTCGGGAGGTAACTGATAATCACCGACATGATTTTGTTTTACATAATGGTTACCTGTTTCGTGGATTGCGGTTATGCATTCCAGATTGTTCACTAAGGCAGCAGATTATTAGTGAACTTCGTAACGAAGGACATTTTGGGCGAGACAAGACATTGGCATTGGTCTCTTCTAATTATTACTGGCCCAAGTTGAGCAGTGATGTGGATCATTATGTGGAGCGGTGTTATGTATGTCAACGGTCTAAAGGGGCTCTTACTAATGCTGGATTGTACACACCATTACCCGTACCTGAAGCTCCTTGGTTTGATGTCAGTATGGATTTTATCTTGGGCTTACCTCGTACACAGCGGGCGATGGATTCCATTTTTGTTGTTGTTGACAGATTTTCAAAGATGGCTCATTTTGTGGCTTGCCGGAAGACAATGGATGCTACTCGGATTGCTCATCTTTATTTTAGAGAGATTGTGCGTTTACATGGTGTCCCACAGTCAATTACTTCTGATCGTGATACTAAGTTTATGAGTCATTTCTGGAGGAGTTTGTGGGAGAAACTTGGAACAAAATTGAATTTTAGCAGCGCATACCATCCCCAAACAGATGGTCAGACTGAGGTGGTGAATCGGAGTTTGGGAAATCTTTTGAGAAGTTTAGCCGGGACTAAACCGAAGCAGTGGGATCTGGCATTACCTCAAGCAGAGTTTGCTTATAACCGGTCGAGGAATAGAACCACCGGACTGAGTCCTTTTGAAATTGTCTTTGGTCGAAATCCATCCGGAGTACTTAATTTGGCTCCAATTCCACGTGTGGGTCGCTTCAATAATAAAGCTGATGAGATGGCTGAATATCTTCGAGGTATCCATGAGTAGGTGAAGCTGTCCATACGGGATAGTAATACTAAGTACAAAGTTCAGGCAGATAGTCATCGACGCCAGGTGTTGTTTGATGTTGGTGATTTTGTTTGGGCAGTATTAACTCGTGATCATTTTCCAGTTGGGGAATACAATAAACTAAAGGAGCGGAAGATTGGACCTTGTGAAGTGCTGCAGAAGATCAATGATAATGCTTACAGGTTGCGCCTCCCAAGTCATTTGGTCTTCAACGTAAAACACCTAAGCCCTTGTTTTATGGAGTCCGATGAAATTACTGTGAACTCGAGGGCGAGTTCTTTTCAACCCGGGGAGACTGATGCAGGAGGATCCGAGTCAAGTGATGCTGATTTGTCAGATTGCACGATGATGGCGCTGAGATACCATGAGATGGCGGATCGGCGCAAAGATGGAAAGTAAATCACCATTATTTCCTTAATTGGGAGATTTTGACGCGTCTTTGGTAATTTGGCCATAACTTTGGCTACGGTTATCGGAATCGCTATTATGACCCCAATTCGAAAAGCTCTCTTCGGCGCGCATGTCGTGGCCACCCAACTTCGCTTGGTGGACGTCAATTTCAAGCCCAAAATTCACTGTTTTCCTTTCCAAAATTCGATTTTAAGTTATTTTACTATTTATGGTAATATTTAGTTTCCTTTTTTTTATATGTTAGAGAACTCGAAATAAGCCAAATTTTTGGCAACTTACTTCTTTTACTTAATATTTTATTTTGGTATAATTTCGGGATTTTGCCATTTTTGGTAATTTTCCAATAATTTCGTATTTCGCAGCTATTTAACTCGGCTTGTGGGTTAGTTTTCAGCATTCTGCATTATTAATAATATTGAGTTGAATTCAGAGTGTTTTCTCTGTTTTTTTGGGCGTTTTCTATCGTTCTTTTCTTGCGAATCATCTGCTACAACCAGCCAATAAGATAATCACTATCCTACCCGGCGTCACTTATTTACAAACTAATATTTGAATTATAAATAAAAATTAAAACATGTCTTAACATATTGTCCTCTTTATCCACATAACTAATATAAAGCAATTTACTTCAGCACATATAATTCTAGATAATCACATGAAATTTGGAAAGAATGGTTGATTTTTTAAAAACTCTTTCTTCTACACCATGTTAACACAACAAAAATCTCAAAAATCTGTAGAAAATAAATTTTTCACGTTCACAGAAAACAAATTAACTAAAAAAATAATAATAAAGAAAAAATCCTAAAAACTAAACAATTACCTTGTAATTTGTTTTTCTCAGATTTTGGGATGAAATATGAAGAATGCAGCTGTGAAAGAAAAATTTACTAAAGAAAGTAAGGAAATGAAATAAAAGAATGAATGACCTCTTTTTGTTTTTTTCCTCTTTCATTTACTTTTCAGAGCTTTCACGTGAATTTCTTGACTTTACCAAAAAAAATTCTTGCAATTTTATACATCATTATTATTTCATTTATTTTTTCACCAACCAAAAGATTTGTTGTTATCTAAAAAATATTTAAAAAATAATAATTAATAATAAGTAATGCTAATTAATAATTTATAAATAAAAAAATGGTGTGTCTTCGCACGCAATGTGCGGAGTGTCCCACACAGCTTTTTTTTTTTGGAGAACTTCACTTTATATATATATATATATATTTTTTTTTTTTTAAAACTAAATAGTAATGATTTTTTTTTAAACCTCAACTTCAAAGAAGGTGATATTGATAATGCATACCACCCAACTTCATATATATTTAATATTTATTTTATTTTGAAAAAATAAAAATCTAATTTTTTTTTTAAATTCAGCTGGTAAGTGAATTTACTGTGTTTTGCATTCTAGTATCTGTAAGTGCAAAAATGCCTGCAAATACGTACGTGCAAATACGATAAATTGTAAATAGTAAGGTACAAATACGGTAAGTTGTTTGCAAATATCTTGGCAGCATTTACAAATTCTTCACATTTACAATCAAAAGCTAATTAGGAACTATGGGGATGTAGAAAATATTGATTATAACAAATGTCTACTGCAATCTTTCTTTTATATATACTCATCATGTCCGCTTCAACTATTGCTAATGGATAGTTTAAAACAAATCACTCTTTGTATTTGAGAAAAAATATTGGAGAATTTGCCCTGTATCAAAGAATTGTTTTCTGTTAGACAAAATAAATAGGAGAAGGGTAAAATCGTAACTCAGGAAAGAATAAATGTTGTCAATTTAAATACATTAAATACATATCTGTTATTTGCACAAGGTAGGTAAGGTATAATTTTCAAATTGAGCCTTTTGTTTCTATGCTTCCTTAAATCCGGTCTCCTAGAAGAAAAATTGCTAGAATTCAATAAAATTTGGACTATTTCAACTAATGACTTTATTTGTTCCCTGATTTCTTCTGGTGTATGAGACTCCTCACTACAATCATATATTTGAACTTTCCAGCCACCGGCAAATCACCATTCATGTATTGCTGCAAAGTCACAGTTAATAAATCCTTTTGAGAATGACTAAAACATTCTGCCATTACATTATGTTGCCACATCAATTGGGCAGCACATTCATGTTCAAATTTGAAGTCCAGAATTGCATATTCTTTGAAAACGAGATTGCAACCTTCATTGATCAACTCTCTCAATAGCTTTAATTCCATTTCTATATGCTAATACAATAAATAGAAATAAATTAGATATGTTGAGCATAATAAAATTAATTGAGTCAGAGATATAAACTTCACTAACCACAATATTGATATCTTTGGTTGCATCCATTATGGTTTTTATTGTATCTCTTCCATATAAATTGTCGGTGCCTACGATATTCCAATATGCACAATATATATATATATATATATATATATATACACACACATACACAATTAATAAAATACAATCAAATTTCTTACCTGGATGAATTCCGCGCCACCCAGTCTCTTATTGTTCTATATCTTTCCATGAGATAGTTTTCTAACAGATAACCTGAATACTTTATTTTTTTATTTTTCTTTTCTTTTCTGGATGTTCTCACCGGTTGAATTTCTTGAAATAGTGCTTTTTGGCCACTACTAGAAGCAAGAACATTCTGCAGCTGTGAACAAGCAATAGCTTCCAGTTTTGATTCCAAATCATCGAATCGATTAATCACACTTTCGTGTTTTTCGTCAATGTACGTCGTCATTGAAGCAAAATTACTGTCCATATAAGACTGCATGAAAGCAAAATTGTTCTTCATATAAGACTGCATTCCCAGATACTGATCTTCATGCCATTTTTGTTGTTGTCGAAACATTCCTTGATACTTCTCTTCATGTCATTTCTGTTGTTGTTGAAACATTTCTTTCTGTTGATCAAGAAATGCTTGATAACGAGCATCTTATTCTTTTGTTTCTTGAGCAGTATGATAGGAATGCATGCCAGATTGGAAGCGTAAACGTTCGTGTTGATCTTCGTACCATTTTTGATGTTGTTCAAACATTTGTCTCTGATTTTGAAGAGTTTCTGCTTCCTGTCTTCTTGATTCATCAACTATGTTTGTCTTCAGATTATGAGACGAGCCAGACATATCTGACACTATATGTTGCCTATACATACTGAACATTTTTTCCATTTTTTCTCTTCTTACATAGCTAAAATCAAGAGAAGAACAACCAGACTCCTGAAGTCCAATTGAATTTTGCGTTGTTGAACTACCAGCAACACCTGTGTGTTGCTCGTCTATACGATGTGGAATTTGTTGCTCGTTCATATGTAGTGGAA